GCAGCGAGGTGGTCGCACGTGCAGAAAGACCACGGTGTACCGGGGTGTCATGGCAACGAGATAATGTTTTTCGCTCTCACAGTTTCGCCGTTTGGCCGCCGGTGACACTGTCAGCCGCGGCAGTGCAGAGCCCTTTATACTGAGAGAGTTTGGCCATCTTAAGGAGATTTTGACAGCCTGGCAACCACAGCAGCGTAGTCTGACAACCGGGGGATGATTACTTCCGTCCGCCATTTTGGGGCCCTGACTCATAGGAACTCTATGCGATTTCTCAGGACTAAAGAAAACAAAGAAGTAACGCCATTTTGTGTTATCGCGAAATCCGCTGGTTCTAGCGGCCAACAAGCTCCGCCCATTGGCCAAACTCTCTCAGTATAAACGGCTCTGCGGCAGTGTCGCGGCTGATTGCCCCGGTGACTTTCTGCGGGAACACACTGGGCAGTCGACTACTTATATAATACCGACACGCGGGCTTGACGTCACGGAGCTGCGGCGGCGCTGCGATCGCGCCGGAGCCGGGGGGTGTGGGCAAAAGCGCGCACGTTTCGCATGGGCGTCATAGCATTTCAGCATGCCGCGAAGCTGTGTTGCCGTTAATTGCACCGAAATGTACAAGAAAAGCAGCGGAGTGAGTTTCCACAAGTTCCCGGCAGACTCTGAAACGCATAGAAGGTGGATAATATCCGTGGATCGAAAAGAATGGTCGCCTCGCGCGAACGACCGTTTGTGCGGCAAACACTTTCTTGGAGGCAAGTGCGGCTTCCATTTCAATCTCCGTCCTGAGGCTTGCATATGTGCAGGGAAACCGTTGTCTGATCAAGACCACCCGGCTTTTGTTTCCACGGTGTTCGCGCACAACGCACCCGGGCACCCCCCAAGCGCTCGTCGGAGGCTCGCTACGCCCGTGCTACCGAGCAGAAGGGGATCGACGACAGAACGGCAGTGTTGTAGGCGTTACCAAAAAAAAAGTAACGAAATATGTTACTCGTTGCTTGCAAATAAAAGGTGCGCGCTACTGAACTAGTTTACCTAAAAATAAAAGGAACGCGTTGCCGCTACCGATAAAAAGTAAGGCACGTTACTTCTGCGTTACTTTTCTGAATTATGATGTAACGCATTTTACGGTTTTGACGATACAGGTCATATATCAAGAAACATTATGTTCATGCAGAAACTGAACATAATTACTTTAGCTCTTTTCACGGTTTCACCTAAATACTTACGAGAAAAAACGCAAAGAAAAACATGGCTTAATGCCTAAAACACGGAAACAATTGAAGTGATTTTTTTTAAGACTTGGGAAGTAGTAACGACTCAGGTAACTACGTTACTTGAAATAGTAACATAAGTACGTTACCCGTTACTGTGCCGAAAACGTAACGAGTAGGTTACTACGTTACTGAAAAAAGTAACGCGTTCCTGGTAACGCCGTTACTTGTAACCTGTTACCGTCAAGACTGCAGAACGGACAAACCTTTATTGGTTGTAATGCCTTGTGGTCATGAGGGTATGAAAAATATCGTACCTTGACTTGAAGACGCTCTGTGTATTTAATCAATTAATAAATACACACACTTCCGCAGACCCACAGTCTGCTGATCCCGCCGGCAGCGCGGAAACCGACTCGATGTAATCGTAGACCTCGAGAGACTTGTGCGCCTGCACCGTGTCGGCCGTGAACTGGCTTGGCGAAAAAACAAAATAAACGACGACCTGAGCCGTTGACTTCCGTGGCAGCAACTTTACGTCGGAAGTCCAGCAGGCCTTGTTTACGGCGTACGGATCCTCGCAAGCAACACTGTCCACGCACAGTTTGTTTCGATACCGCTACCGTTCAGGCTCGGGCAACGAGCTCAAATAGTCGGGCATAGCATACGACATACGTTATGAGGAAATACGACGCACAAATAAAGATACAAGCGTGCAATGGCGAAAACACGGACAGCCGGGCTGCTTTTGCCCACATAGCTACCGCGCATGCGCGGCCTTCCGGCCGTGTTGGTAAACAGAGCCGCTCCGCGTGTCGGTCTATAGAGGCCCGTGGTGGTGCCCTACGTACCCGCCTATACCGAAGCAAGTACAATAGTAGCGTGAATGACACGGTATGCAGTGCGTGTGGAGCGGGCGAAGAGAGAATCGACCACTTGCTGCTTGCGTGCAGGGCGCTACACCCAACGCCTGTCGTGGGTGCCCGCTTGGAGGCAGGCAATTGGTTTCACCAACGAAAAGACCCATGTAGTATGCTCCAAGCGGAGGCTCGAGGCATGGTGGCAGACTCGACTGAAAAATCGGTGTCGTGACCAAGACGACCAAGGTGACCGAGATGGCCAATAGCCGCGGCTTTACTTTTTGCTGGAGGGGCAAGCACTCACTTAAAACGACGGTGTCATGGGAACTGATTAACTTTGACTGTGCGAAAGTGACGGTTAACGAACTTTGCTAATCACTTCTCTTTCGTTGTTGTCCTTTTTTATTTAGTTTTTCTCTTTTGCTTTTATTGGCATGTCTTACAAGACTCTCGTAACAAAGAGATTGTGCCTCCAAATATACACACATACACATGCATACGGTGGCAGCGGAATAATGCAGCCTTTCGGATGCCCGTCGAACGGGCGCTATGTGATTCCTAGCGCCGCGCGTTCAGCACCGCCATGTCCTCACCTAAAGAGTGTACCTTACGCCGTGGAATAGACCTATATTGCTAAGCATTCTAGTACACTGTATTATTGCTAAATTTCCCAAGCATCAAGGAGAGTGCAGAGAATGGTATTCCACGTGCCACACGCGCACGTTTTCCACGTATAAGATATTCAAATAAATAACCAAAATAAAGCGTTGACGACCGCGTGCTTGAGAGAAAGGTACTACTGCTGAGGCAAGTACGTGCGGCGCGTGGAACACCGATTCCTGCATTCTCCTTGATGCTTGGGTAGTTTAGCAGTAGGTCTATAAAATCACGAGAGGACTTTTCCTTAAAGGCGCGATGCAACGATTTTTTCTATTTTTCGCAAATACCGCTTAGAACGGATCCCTGACGTTAATGACCTGTGGAATACGCGTTTGTTTTTCACCACACGCAATCGAAGTCGCAGAAAAAAATAAAGAAAAACGAGCAGAGTTCAACCCCCTCAACTCGCAGCCAGAACAAGCGGCCACGTGATCTGGAGCCGATTATATGCCGACAATGTTGATCGTAGCCATGCGCTGGGGTTGGCAAGGCACAGGACACGCGCTGCGTTCCAGACATTGTTATGGTTCGGCTGTTGTCGTCATTGCAGCGATTGGACACGGTTTACTACCCGAATGCTTCTCGATCTATCTATTATCACGAGCCCTCAAATCGAGTGTCTACGCCATGCTCGGGTCCAATCTATGAGCCGCATTCAAATATTGTCACTGGGCGGTACTGCTACCGCCCAGCTACGTCACCAGGTTTTGCGAAGGGGAGATTGAATGAAAACGCTCGGTTTTGTCCTCGAAATTACAGCGCAATAAAGCAGCTTCTTAGCCAGTGGCGTTGTGTTCGAGTATCCTTGAGTCCCACTAGTGCCAGTAAGCTCGTGTAAAGAAAAAAACATTCCAATTGAATATCGTTGCACCGTCCCTTTAAGCTGCGAGTCGGACGTCTAATTCTTCTCCAGCGATTTTGAACACACCGCCGGAATATTGGTGACCCGGACGTCTGACTATCATGGACCGGAGTGCAGGCAACTTCACTGACGACGGATCCTTGACCACCACTAAATCCGAAACTCCAGAAAAAAACTTGTCTGTAAAATCTTCGCCAATTCGGATTTATTCGTAGAACTCCGAATTCCGAATCACGACGCTAAAATGAAAAAAAAAAACGGTATTTTACGAATACATTTTGTCAGAGCACAGGGTCAGCAGTCGTGAAGAAAGGCTATATTGTTTTTTCTAGTCAATGATTATTGACAAAAGAAAGTTTCCCATTTATCTCGTCAGGGTTGGTTCAGTACGGGTCAATCTACTTCTGGGCGACGACACAAACACTGTTCCGGTTTCCAGTTTCGACCTATTGTGCTTAGATAAAAAAGAGGCTGTTTTTATATCAGTGAAAGTTATGAACATATAGGTTTTATTGGAGGGGAAAAGCAGCTGACGCGTTTATGCTTCCCAACGACTGTCCAGGAGTTTGGCTATTTCAAAGTACCGACGTTCATTGAAGCAGCACTTGTTCGCAAGATCTTTTCGTGTGGCAGTCAGTACTGCCAATGGCAAGGGCACCACCGCCAAATACAGCTGCGAAAGTACCTTTCGATACCGACACTTCTTTAAAAAAATGTTTTTATGTTGAATTGTGAAAAAACTGACCACTATAAAATTATACTCTGGATTTCTGAGAATTCGTAATCTAAGAAGGCTAAACATCCATAAATCCCGAACTTTCAGGGAAAATCTACTTTGCGAAATACCCTCCGAATTGCATGAAAAATATAGTCCGACCATACGGAACCCTAGTTAAAAACTATTACTTCATTTAAACACCTGTGTTAAAAAAAAATCCGGTACTTTAGGTGCTACGGTGACTGCATTCACGCAAAGGTTTAGTTATTTACTTTCTAAATGTCAAGCCTAAAAAGCTGTTTGAAAGCCCGCTCATAACAACAATGCATAAGCCGGAGTCATCCTAGCATCGTATTAAGCCCTGAGATAAAGTAGTCAGACCACTTTGAAAGGCCTTGAGGAGAAGGAACTCGCGGACTAAAAAGCAAGCTTCTTCTGAGAAGGCATCCTTCGGCCAGTTTTTCCCGTTCTGTAGAGAAAGAGCGCACTCCTGACTTTATTGGCGCGCAGCCTTGAGAAGCGGGGCTCATCACTTCTCTAAGAAAATGTATAAACCAAACATGACTCGACGCCCAAGGTAAACGTAAGTACTTCCCCGTGTGTCTGAAACGGGCAAGTAAAATTCTTGTCGGCGTGTTTATGTCTCGCGTTCAGTATCAATGCGCTGTATATTCCTTCCGCTGCTCGTCAAGATGAAAAATCTCGAAAGCGTGTTGCGGATATTACTCGTTCTGCGCTCTACGCTCGTGCTCTCTTCCGCTGTCCCTATCGCGAAGGAAACGCGCTTGGTTCAGACAGAATCTGGCCTTGTGTCGGGAATCCGATTACTGGAGAGCGGTCGTGAAGTGGATGCATTCCTTGGGGTACCCAATGCAGAGCCCCCTGTCGGACAGCTCAGGTTCAGAAGACCTCAACCGAAACTTCCGTGGGAAGGAGTGTACAGCGCTACAAGTAAGCCTCCACCGTGCTGGCAGCTTGATGACAGCTTTATCGAGGATTTTCCTGTGAACCACTCTGATGCCTCCGAAGACTGTTTTTTTCTGATTGTGTGGAGACGGGCCTTAAAATGCCCAGTGAAAAAGAATTGCGACAGGAAGCGGCCTGTTGTTGTTTTTATAGAGGGAAGCGCGTTCCAGTGGGGAGACTCGGCTTTGAATATATACGATGCCGCTAATTTTGTGTCCCTTTCAGATCTCGTGTTTGTTACATTCAACTATAGGTTGAGCATTTTTGGATTCCTTTCTAATGAAAGTCCAGAGGTCCCTGGCAACATGGGTTTTTGGGACCAGAACCTTGTACTTCGATGGGTTCACGGAAATATTGAGAACTTCGGCGGAGATCCCAGTGACGTAACGTTGATCGGCCACAGCACCGGAGGCACCTCTGCCGGTTTTCATACTGTGTCTCCACACAGCAAGGGACTCTTCAGGAAGGTCATTATGCAAAGCGGCATTCCACTCTCTTCTTTGGTCCGTGTGACACGCAGCGGAATTCCAAGCATTACTAGCGTCGCTAAAAACTTGGGCTGTCTGCAGCCAGTTATAAACTTGGGAGAAACTTTTACAAACGTAGCTGCATGCCTCAGAGATCTGAATGCGACGTTCATCTTCGAGGCGTTGTATAGACAAGACCCGTCAAAAAGATTATTTTCACCATCTACAGAGACGAGTTTCTTCCAAATGACCCCTTATCAAGCGAAACCTGGAAGGCAATGGACATTGAACAAATTTTATTAGGAACGACTCTCAACGAAAGCACCGTGTTCATCAGAAAAATGGAAACGTCTTTTTCTCGACTGCTGCAACCCGCAAAGAACGATTACAGAGTGGCTGCTACCGTCGAAATCGTGGGCCTTCTCAAGATACCATTGACGCGAAGCTCACAGATCGTTGCGCATTATTTTGGTGATTACAGCGTGAAGCACAACATGAAGGAGGCTCTGAATATTTTCTGCGAAATGCTCGGGGACGTTGTGTTTTCTTGCCCAACCCAAATATTTGCTGAGATTGCAGCCCGTCAGGGAGTGCGCACCTACAGATACGTCTTCGCTTACAGGTCGTTGAAGAGCGTCTCGCCAAAATGGGCGGGTGTTAAGCACGGAGAAGACATTATGTACACGCTAACTTCCTTACCCCGTGTTCGAGACAAAGATCGTTACACGACTGCGTTGGATCAGAAGACAACTGCCATCCATTCTAACTACACTTACAGCGAGAAAGAAGAACAATTTGTTGAGCAAATTGTTGGTGCTTGGACGACCTTCGTTGAACATGGGTGTGTACTGTTTTGCCCGAGTCTTAGCTATGAAAACCATGTGATGCCAAAATCATAAATGCAAGTGAAATTGAAATTGCATACAAACAAGAGACAGCGCATAATTTAACGAATGACATATGTACATGTAGATATAAACTCTAAGCTGCTTAGTCCACAGTTAAAAATCAAAGCGAGACAGAGTGATCGAATCAGCTGTTGTCGTTTTAAGATTGAATGTGAGAGTTAGTTATTATAGTAAAATTAGCCGGCTAACAAGTTATGATAGAACACATAAAAACCAGCGAATATAATATTGATAGTCACATTATAATTAATAATAACTGTTTTGCTCTTTGTGGCCTCATCGGGGTACTAAAAAAAAGTGAACTAAGAGTTTAAAAAAAATTTTTACGTTAGCTCGATAACCGGCGATAGAAAGTGTGTGGGATCAAATTGCTCTCCCACGTCCAGGGGTTGTATGACCGAAAGCTGAAGTATGGAATGAAGAAGTATGGAATCCCCCAGTGGCCTTATTGGCTATATATACGTTCCTTAATATTGCTTTAGTTCTATTTTCAGAAAGCCCGTTCTTCAAGATTCTGCAAGTGAGTGGCCCATGTACACACCAAAAAGTTTTGAAGTCCTTTACCTGCTGCCAAACAACTTCACAAAAGCAAGGGATCCAAAGCGGAATAAGTGCGAGCTCTGGAAGTCTTACCTCCTCAAATAGTGAACAACGTCTGTGCGTACTTTTTGGTCTCGTATTAGCGGCGAGATGTTTTCGTGGCGCCCTCCTATGGTTCCCCCTTGTGACGTCATTACTTTACAAACAACAAGTTCGATGGTGTTTGTAAATAGCATGGTGGAAGCTTGAAATCATTGCGCTCTCAAAGGAAAACTGCCAACACCGTCAAAATTAAAGTTCTTTCATACCTCTCATTTCCGTCGATGATAAACCCCTTTCCGACGTTATAGTCAGCGTTCTGCCAATCGTGGAAGGCCGACGACAGCGACGCTTTCGGTCGCGCACGGGGCTAATAGTTAATAAAATGGGCTGCGACCATTGCCTTCAAAGTGCTATAATGTTTGGAAGGCATCATTTAAGGTGCGATCCCTTAAGTTCTACGTCTGAGGTCACGACATTCACGTGGCCTGACGCCGTGCAGCGCCCCCGCGACATCAGGACAGGTGACGTCATGGAGTTCAGTCCTGGTGTTATATGACGTCACGTCACGCGAGACAATGTCACGTGACACCCTGGGGTCACGTGACCTGACGTCACGTAGCATGGTTTCATTGCGACACGGTGTGCAGTCGTAATGACGCGAGACGCACCGTCACTTGACACAACGACTTGACGCCACATGAATCGCGGCCGTACACTTTGGGACAGTCATCGCAAACACGACATCCGCGAGTTCTCACATTTCACTAATTACAGTCTAGTATCTAACACCACTTTTTATATTATTTCGCCAGACCAAATATTTTCACTGTCGTTAAGCTGGTGGAAAAATATTCAGAAAAACGTGCAGCCCACTCGTTATACGTAGCGATCTCTACCACGTGATCTCGGTGCTCCTCCGTAGATCAAAGCTAGCCTCGTGCAGTCTTGTACGCATTACCAGAGGCGTTACTAAACAAAATAGTCCATTGCAATTACAATTAGTAACCGTTTCCTTTTTGATTACTTCAGATCTTCAAAACGGCTGATTTTTCTGTCAGCTTGAAAACAGGCCTCTCGCATCCTCCGTTATCGAATAAGAAGCCGATTGCAAACTACTACTTTCAACCTATCGCTTTTGGTACACTAAACAATGTTCGAGGACTCCTGGGTAGGAAACTTATGGAAACAAGAGACGCCATTAGAAAGGAAAGGGGTAAACCTTCTTTGTACGAACTTAAGATAATTCACAATGGGCACAAAAGCGGTGTTTCGGGAGCTCCATCTAGATCACAGTAGCTCAATGAACCAAACAAGATCTAGCTTCGTTGTTGAATTGAGCGTTCCTACCTCCTTGTGCCGTGCCCACTCAACTTCACACGGAAAAGCCCTCAACCGCAAGATTCTGAAAACGGTGATTTTTTCTGCAGTGGAAACCGCTTATTTTGCGTGTGACAAAAATATTACTTTTTTTTTTGTCTTATCTTTTTTTCGCGCCACATTATTTGGTTTTGGTTATTTTGGGGCTACCAGTGTGTAGAATTGCCTCGAGCGAGAGTTAGATGTTTATTTTTCAATTAAGATGGGTGGGGATGACTGTTGGAATGGTTTACAAAGACACATAAGTATGGTATATTAGCCATCAAACTTCTCACTAAAAGGCTTTCGCAGAGATGTTAGACTTCAGAGTCTAAGCTTGAAACCCAATATAAACAACTATATGAACTGTCCAGACAGAGAGCCTTCATTTTATACTGCTGGGTAACAATCGTTTTATTCATTGTTCGCAAGATTTACAAGCTGGTTAAATGGACAAATCAGAGCATCTCTTGCTCGGACTGTGGTAACTAAGTAGTCATCAACTCGGCAACCGGAAGGGAGAGAGAGAGGCGGGGGGGAAGCTGAAAACATTGGTAATGGTTACAAGTCATTTTACTACAATCAAATTACTTTTGCGGTTTCTACCTAACACCTGTAACAAAAAGGCTACAAAATATCTCTTGAAAGTAAACTACTACTAGTAATTTTGTTACTTATGACGGGTACCACACAAGTCTGCCCCTATTGGAAGAGAAGAAGAGCTGGAAGGCGCTGTTTTAAGGACTAGGGGTTCGACTGCTTTGAGGGAAAGAACACAAGACCGTGCTAAAACGAAACAGACCCACTAGCTATCAAAGCTTACCAATTCTTGTAACTAAAATGACTGAAAACGACAACAAAAAAACGAACCTGAACCCGAGCATTAGCCGCACTCATTGTACCGGACCGACCTACACGAGCGTTATCGCAGCGCTCTTTTTTTAGTGTGCCTGTTTTTCCTGCATTGCTTTAACGTCTTCTATAAACTCATCCACGAATGTGGCGTCGACCTATAGCGCAGTTTGTCTTCGCAAACGTCACCACGCAACATATAGAACGTAATGACCGCATAAATAACCTTAATATAAAGGAACAATCATCGAACTCTAATTGCTCGCTTATTAACGGTGCGTGTTAGAGTCACTCTCTGGGCAACTACAAAATACTGCTTCCTCTAAGGCTTTGTAAGTGAATCCCCAAGCCGTCACTTTCACATGAAGCCTCCCATGACTCATGCATTAAAATTGTGTTCGGCATTTTTCTGGAAACACGCTGCATGGAAACGTTTGTTTCAAATGTGTTAATAGTTGGCTTATACTTGAAGACCTTCTGAAAATACCATTATTTAGAGTCGGAGAAACCTTGCAGGAAACTGAAGAGTAGCAGTTTTTGCTTAGTTTGTTGAATTGACTA